AGGAAAGAGGAAACATTCATTATTTCTCTGAGAAATGTGGCTAAAGAAAGGAGAGAAATGGGGTGGTACCTACAATAGGATGAAGGATTTAATACTTTTTTCTTCTTTTCTTTTTAATGCTTGAGAGACTTGAGCTTGACTATAGGCTTTGAGGAGGGCACTGAGAAAGGCAAGAGAACTAACTGATGGAATTGGATCCCATAAAGGAATAATATCAAGAGCACAGACATCAAATTTAATCACCTTTTCCGTCATTGGAAACTTATCAGTTAAGATTAGCTTAGGTACATATAATAAAAAGTCAAAATAATTATATCTTACGTAAATAGAAGATAATTTGTCTTTCATATTGCAAACAAGTCTGAAGGTAGGTAGGCACTCCTAGGACACTAGTTCCTTTTTATTTTTTCTCTTTATATTTTTAAAGTCACCTTATTGTCTAAGATGTCTTCTGGAGGTCCAGCCATCTCACTTGAGTTCCAGGCAAGAAGAAAAAGAAAATAGGGAAAGGAAAGACTAGATATCCCAGCTGAGTCTGCCTCCTTTAAGACACTTTCTTGAATGTGTCTTACCTCTACCCAATGTCTTCTGCTTATTTTTTTTGGCCACTTCTAGCTCTGAAGAGCACTGAGAAATGTAGTCTCTAGCTTTTTGCTTCAATACAAATACGATTTTGTTAGTAAGGAAGAAGAAACTAGACATTGGTAGGCAAGTTGAAGTTTTTGTCCCAGGAGAAAAGTGCAAGGATTTACAGATGTAGATAAATTTTCTGTTGCAAGAAAAGGAAATTGAATTGGTTAACATTGAATAGATTTGGAATTTCTGTGAATTTCTGTGACAAGGTCATTATCAGAGAAAGTGGCTATCAATAGACACTCTGAAAAGAATGGTGGATGATTTAGAATAGTGATATGAGAAAATGAACAGAACAGCAATTGACCCAACTGGCATATAAAAGAATGTTGAGCAGTGCTAAGGGCTTAGCAGGAGTTGGAGATCATTAATTTGTTTTTGTATAAAACTGAATACTAATAGCTGTGAAATTTTCTGTTGTATTGTTCAGCAAATCAGATATGGGAGTGTGGTTAAATTCATCTAATGTTGTGTGTGTATGTGTTGGATGTGGGGGTTGCAGGAGCTATAAAAATTAAAAGAAGAATTATTTTGGCAGAAATGGACAAGGAAGGCCTAAAGGAGGTATGATATTTTTATTCAGACCTCAAAATGCAGGTAGGAGTCTGTTGGGAGGGGAAGGAATACCAACCAAAAGAGTGAAGATAGCTTCAGATGTGGAAATAAACAAAACCTATTAGGAGACACAGTAAACCAATTTGGCTGAGTAGGAGAAATAATGGAAGGCAGTAATGCAAGGAGGTTGTTGAAAGGGTACATCTGATAAAGAGCAGTTAAGTACACATTCTTTAAATTCCAAGCCATATCTTCCAGGCAATGAGGATCTGTTGAAGGTTATTATGCAGGAGAGTAATTTAAGATTAAAGTGATGGCTGTTTGCTATAAGGATGGTAGGCAGGAAAATGTCTTTATGAGGCCGGCAAAGGAAATCAACATTCAGGAAACAAGGAGAGAGGAAAGAACGGAACTACTAAGAGGCAATAGATAGTTGCTCATCTGTGCTACCAGCACTTTTCACACTATAGAACTTTTGCTCTCAATTGTGAATTCTTGCATAAGTATTTATCTCACTTCAATGTCTTCTTTCTCTCCCTTCCTCCCTCCCTCCTGATGACATATGCCAGGAAGCAAGATCTCACATACTCCCAAGAATGACAGTTTGAAGTTTCTTTTTCGCATTTGGAATTGGAGAAGGATTACATGAAGGTGAGAGAAAGCAAGGTGGGGATTAGATTACAGGATATTTAACAGTTTATATGCTCCCTTGAAAGTGGTTATGCCTCTGAGATGTCTGAGAAAGAGGATTCCTCTGGCATTTCAAAGATATATTAAACTAGATGCATAAGAACAATAGACAAGGCTTGTTTGAGGCAAAGATAAACCTTTTACCAAAAAAGTTATATGCCTGGGGTATGGCTAGCCACCAAGACCTGCCCAGTTAGGAATTTATGATCAAATCACCTTTTGTAGCTACTTTCTGTCACTGGACTTGTCAATTTCTCTACCGAACCCCTTTTTCATCCACAGAAAATTTATTCTTCTGGGGAAATAAAACAAATAAGAGCACCAAGTGAAATTCAACAGTGTGTGCCAGGTTTTGAGGTGTGCACAGAGTGGAGGGCCACTAATCTATTATGTCAGAGAAGGTACCACTTGAACCCAGCCTGGAAAAATCACAAGAAAGTCACTGGAAAATTACAAGGAAGTCGCTGGAAGTCGCGGTAGAGGAAGAAGAAAAGGTATAGAAGAAAGAGGGCCTCTGGTCTCAGGAGTGGCTGGTTACTTGGTCAACCTGCATTTCACAGTATTGGCGCAGGAGCGTAGGGCTGTGAGGTTGGGGAAGTTAGCAGGGCCTTGTGTGTCTTGCTAGAGTTTGGGTCTTATTCCAAATGTGTTGGAGGTTCCTGAATGATTTGACATAGAAGAATGACTGATATTAGCTTTTTAAAAAATAATCATTGAAATTGAGTAGTTATAATCTGAGGCTCTGGAGTCAGATTAGGCCAGAGCGATACTCGTGGTTCAGCCACTTGATGGCTGTGTGACCTTGGGAAAGTTACTTAAATTCTCTTAGCTCTAGGTTCTTACTATCTAAGGTTAAAAAAAAATTACTATCTTCTTCTAAGGTATTGTTATTTTTATTTTCTGAGAATTAAATGATATATCATTGGTAACATTCTTAGCACAGTGCCTGGCACATAGAAACTGATAGCCATTATACTAGTAGTCTTATCATAGCTGACATCGTTACTGTTATAAAAACAGTGGTGTGGTAAAAGATGAGTTAGAGATATGGGGTAAGCTGGAAAGAGACTAGTTAAGAGGCCTCTGGGATAATTTAGAGAAGAATATTCTATATTTTTGTGCAGTACCCAACTGTCATTCAGAAGAATACCAAAAAAATAAAAAATAAAAAAAATTGTGGAATAAATGAAAGAGAAACCTAAGCAGAATTTGGTGATTGATTAGCTCAAAGAAACCAGAGAAAGAATAAAAAATGACTACAAGGCTTCAAGCTTGGGTGACTGCAGAATTCTGGTACTATTGACAAAAGGAAGTGCTTTCTCTCCCCACCCATTGACTCGCTTCCTCAGGCCATTGCTCACCTGACATCTTTAGATGGTCGGCTGCTTTCCCAATTTCATTCACTAGCTCAGTTACTGTGCTGTGCAGGTCTGCCACTTTGTCTCTTTCTGAAATGCTTTGTCATAACATAAAGGAGGAATATTTGAATTTAGAACCTTCGAATTTTTATTGATTGATTGATTGATTGATTGCCTACAGCACCTGACATTCCTAGGTGGTCTCCCATCCAAGTACTAACCAGGCCTGACCTAAATTTTTGAAGTCTCAACTTCACTTACAAATTGGTTTTGAAAACATCTCTTGGATCCAAATCTTATTTCATTTCTAGATCACATAGATGTCTCTGGAAAAACTTTAACATCTATGCCTCTGTTTAGAGGAGTTAATAAAATCCTGCATTTTTACAATTAATATTGTGTTTGGCACAAAATATTCTTACAGCTTTTCAATATTATATAATTGCTATTTTCTCTTCTTTTATATGTGGAATTATATTTTAATCTCATATAACAAACAAACAAACCTAGCACAACTTTTGGCTTTTCTTTCCTGCCACATTGGTACTTCTCGGACTCTGAAGACAATTGGAGAAACCTGGGAACATGAGAGGAGATACTATTATAACCAAATGATTTGTCTACCCTGAATGCCTGATTTTAGTATAGGTAATGGTAGGTGGGGCTGTCGCCATGGTTCTCTGGTTTTCTTCTTTTCTTTTTTTTATTTTTTCTTGCTCTTGAGTTTGATTATTCTGATTACTAAAAATGCCTTGCTGTTTGACAAAGAACAGGAATTTTGAGATGGTACTGGGGCTAGGTTAGCTAGTTTCAAGGCTCTGCCAACATTTAGAGAGATTGTTTTTAAGGGAGAAACTTTTAAATAAATGTCTTATTCAAAAACAAGTGGCACATCGTAAACAAGTTTGCAGTGCTCTCTACTACTGAAAATGGCAGTGCATTGATCCATCCAAACTCATTGCCCAAGTATTTTTGGGATCCAGAACATGTGTGTGAGACAGCTGCTCTGAATGAGGGAAGAACAAAACCCACTGCCTGTCAGGATTGCTGTCCTGGTCTCAGCTTCATCAGGTCCTAAGCTTCTGCCCACGGAGTTAGTAAGAACTAGTATAGACCTGGAGATTAGAGTTTAACAGGAGGAGCTTCTACAGCAGCATACGCAGCACTTCTACGCTTTCTCTCCACTGGCCACCTAGTTTGTATGTGTGTGTGTGTTTCAGAAATAGTACACGAGGGATGGGAAATTAAGTGTTTCTGTGGGAAAAAGCAGTGTTTCAGGTTCTCAGCATTTTAGTCAGCTGCTTTCATACTTTTCCCCAGACTGTAAATAGACTTCGAAGCTATTAAAATCTATTTGTGGTGATGTAAAAAGGTAGAGAGTCAATGATTCTTTCCCAGTTGTCCTCTGTCCAGTAACAAATACCCAAACACTTCAATTTGTCTATGTCCCTAGTGGTGGCAAGACGATCCTACTCTTATTTTGTTTTATTATTTTATTTCATTTTATTATTTTATTTATTTTACTTATTTGTTTGTTTTTTTGTTTGTTTGTTTGTCTGTTTATTGAGTGGGGATCTCTGCCTTTAATTTCCTTGTTGGGAACCCAGAAAGACAAAAAGCTCCCTAGGCTAGCCTGTTTGTCCAGGAGTAGGAATTTTGGCAGCAACTTTAAGAGTTTGGCTTCCTGATGAGGGCGCTGGTCTCTTTTGGGTGTGGGAGAAGGGAGAGCTAAAGAGGGCGGGAATCTCAGATCACAGACGAAAAGAAACCAGGAAGTAAGGAGAAATTATTACAGGCCGTTCATAGCTTAGGATGTTAAAGGCAATAGCCTTGGCTGGTTGGTTATTCATTAGCAAAAAGGAAAGAGCACTGGGGGTCAGGACTGGTCAAACTACAGAGACAGACCTGAAGCAGGGAACGATCTCCTGGCAAAGGCAAGATGTGGAGATCTTATCCGCAGCTAACATTTTTCTCTTGTTAACTTTTTCTTGGGACAAATGCAAGGTGACTCTTTTCTGTTCTCAGACTCTTGTCTAAATAAAGCCTTCTTAATTTTATTTTTGTTGCGGGATTCCTAAGCAGACAAGAAGAAAAGGCATCTTGCCACTGGGCAGCTGCCCAGCTCCAACTCGGTTTTGTTCTGGGATAGTAGCTACAACCACAAGGCAAGCTGGTGAGTCTCTGCAAGCAGCCAGGTCTGCTGGATTGTTGTGAAGCAGGGCTTTGCACACTCTCCGAAGCCTAGTGAATTGGTGCTGATTTCACAGTTGCCTGCTGCAGGAAGAGAAAGTGGATCTGCAGAGACAAAGGGGAGAGGGGCTTCTCCCCTCCTCTCCATCAGGGCAGCATGGGCAACATCTGTCTGAGGCTCCGGGCATACTTGGAGCCCTGTTTCCCCTGTTTATTCCAGGAGGCAGACAAACTGGATGTGATTGAGAACCCAGGGGCCCACTGTTCCCCTGAGGCTCCCCAGCCTCAGTGTCAAGAGCCCAAGAGAAGCCATGGCCACTACTTTGTGGCCCTGTTTGATTACCAGGCTCGGACTACAGAGGATCTGAGCTTCCGTGCAGGCGACAAGCTCCAAGTCCTGGACACTTCCCACGAGGGCTGGTGGTTTGCCAGGCACTTGGAGAAAAGGGGAGATGGCACCCGTCAGCAGCTACAGGGCTATATTCCTTCTAACTATGTGGCCGAGGACAGGAGCCTACAAGCAGAGCCGTGAGTAGTACAAACCCACACTTTATTTCTCAACTCTTTGAGGGCAAGTAATGAGTTTTCTTTCCTACCTATATCTGCAACCCCCTAATTTCCGAAGAGCTGTCTAGAAAGTATGAGGAGGTACTGGCAAGAACTTTCTAATTAAAACACACCTTTCCTTTTAAATGAGGAGACCCGGGCAGGTTATTATTGTTGAAATGACTTCTATTTCAGTCTGTATACCCACAGGCCCTGGGTGCATTTTCATCAACATCGACAAGTGGTGCATTTAGTACTCTACCTTTTCTTTGGCTGTAAAATAAGTCATGCCTCACTTTAACAACAGAACTACATTGTATTTGCATGGATATCATAGATCTTCCTTAAACCATGCTTTTAAATCTAAAACCTGCTCCTCACCTCTCTTTTTCTGTTACTCTATCAAGACATTTAAAGCATCCACTTCAGCCCTAATTCTAATCTCAATCTCTTTTCATTCTGATAGACACGCACAGGTCTAACTAACATAGACAGTAACATTTAGAAAATTTAGAAGTTGCTAAGTTTTCGCTACGTTCTCATGACATTTTTCTTAGTGTCCCAGACATGGAGTTATGCTACCCAAATTATGATATCTTTTGGTTTAGATTATGATTAGAAACTCACCAGCTACAAATATTTAGTAAGTTTTAACAAGAAAAATAATGATATTTACCCAGAGGAGGAGATAAAACTTTACTCTGATATTTGAATAAACCCTATGAATTATAGTGGAATGAAAAAGGAAGATTTTATGTACTTATTCACTTACGCATTCATCCATTCATCTGTCCATGCAAATGACTGTAGTGGCATGGTGAGTGAGGAAGGGGGAAGGTTATGCTAGTGGTGGTTGAATATGAAGTAGCTAAAGCACGGTCTCGACAGTGGATATCCAGAGTCTGGTGAGTTGAGAAGCAAGTGGGGACTATTATTGGCCCTAATCTTGTTCCTTCCTCTTTCCAGTGAAATCCAAGAGTAGGAAAGTCTCTTGGGAACCATTTTATAGAATGGATCCTTGGTAGAGGAACCACTGGGGATTCCTTTTCTTACATGTTTCTTCTTTTTATGCGAGCTGCCGCATCCCTTATTGACCCGGGGAATAAAATGGTAGAGAAGAGCCGTGGAGCATTGCTGCTGCTTTCCAAACTCAAATCCAAATACGAAAGGGTGTTTGGTGATTTTTGAGATTCTTTCCAACACTAAGAGCCTATAAATGTTTAGAAGGTTTTTATTTTATACCTAAGTAGAACTAAATTGAAATCTAGACTTTGACGAGTAGAATCGATCGGTTCTCAAATGAGAGAATCACCTGTATGAACATTTATTTTCTGTAGGAAATACCTTTACTTATTTACTGAGTGCTTATTTATGGGCATTTATGTTTTCACTACTGTGATTTCCAGATAAGGTATGGTATCATGTATGTTTTATATTCAGTGTAACATATGTATACTTTTATAACAAATACTACAGTATTAACAATAGTGCCTTGAATTCATAATCTACTACTTTTAAATATGTTCAATTTATATAACTGCTTAGGTCTGCCTCTGTTTCCTCATCTACAAGGTCTCTGGGGTCACCTGGACCTCTGGATTCCCTGGGAACATGAGCTCTTAGGTTTTGGCTATATTCATACTCGACATACTTGAATAAAACAAGTGCTGAAACAAGGCAAGCAATTCAAAAATGATAATGTTCTGTGGCTCAAGCACAGTGTCCTTACTTATTTAGAATCCCTTTAACAAACAAAGTAAAAGAACTAAAGCATCGTGGCTATTTTTTGATTCTCAAGGGCTATCTGTAGCCAAGAATACTTTTCTCCCTCTGCACATAACTCCTGACCTTTCCTTTTGGAATTGGTTCTCAGCAGTGTTCCCACATGTCACTACTGTCCTAGATCTCTAACAGTGGGCTTCCCTTGGGGTTCTTCACCATCTACTGGAATAAAAATTTGACGTCCACAAGATGCTGCTGCTGTGCCTCCTGGTCAGCATGGGCCACTTGTTTCCTTTTAAGTGTACACCATGGTCTTCACCTGTGGACCCAGGTTACTCATGAGGGTTCATGCCACCGAATGGCTAAACTGCTTCAATACTTTTGGTGCAGTAACTGTGGCCTCTAGAATTCCACTCCATTTCAAGTGGAAGTTATTTTAACTTAACAGTCTTCTGAGTGAGGATGTCTAAGTGGCTCACACAGTGCATTAATACCTGAGGATGTCCAAGTGGCTCGCACAGTGCATTAATACCTGAAACTATACAAAAGAAACTTCCTTTAATTTCTTTTTTCACTGTTTTTCAAACTCATACTTCATTTTTTTCCTAATGAATATTGTGAAAGTTCATGTAGTTTATTTTACAATGAGCTCAATATGTAGCATTAAGTAAAGATTATTGTTTATATTCACATGCATGAGATGGGAGGCAACGGTAAAACAGTGAAAGTCGAGTTATCTAATTCTTAATTAGACTAGTTTAGTGCAATTCATCTGTTTATGTCTTTATTCTTGACTTGCAGTGCAAATACTTCTGGAGTTATTAGTGCCAGGGAAAACAGTTGAAGGTGTTAGTGTTTGGTTGGTTTGTTTGTTTTTAATACCAGGAAGTAGAGATGCTAAAATAAGAACTAGACCATTGTTAAAAGATAAACCACTTTAATAATTGATTATTATTCCACCTATAAATGATTTACCCTTTTTGAATAGCTTGCATTAAATGATATAATAAACCTGTTCTCCCTACCCACTTCTTTTTCTAGGAGGTATTATGCCTTCTGCTTTGTTCTTCATTCTCAGGATTTCTTTGACTATTCAGGATTGTTTGTGGTTCCATATAAATTTTAGGAGTGTTTTTCTATTTTTGTAAAAAAATGCTGTCGGACATAGATAACCTTCTATTCATTTGCGTCTTCTTTGATTTCTTGCATCAATATCTTATAGTTTTCAGAGTAGCGGTCTTTTATCTTCTTAGTTAAATTTTTTCCTAGGTATTTTATTGTTTTTGATGCTATCTTAAATGGGATCAATTTTTAAATTTCCTTTTGAGAAGATTCATTTTTAGTGTATGGAAATGCTACTGATTTTTGTTTGTTAATTTTGTGTTCTGCAGCTTTACTGAATTCATTGATTAGATCTAACAGGTTTTTGTTGGTAGTTTATGAGATAAAAGCGTTAGAATTTTATGAAGTATAAAGATAATGGAATTTCTCTCCCTCCAGTTTAGGGCACATTTTCCTAATTGTGCTCCTCTTTAATTTATCAGCTAGAGTTCTGTCAAGATTTCATCTAATTTAAGGTCATTGTCATTGTCTGTCTTGACATACAAGTGTCATAGAGAAATATGTCATAGAGAAAGTGACATAGAGAAATAAAGTAATCTATTCTCAGAAAAAAAAAATTCTCTTACACCATCATTTAAGAATAGAATTGCAGCTTCACTATTTGGTGATAAATTATTTAAAGGTAGAATAATGTGGTTTAAAATTAATTAGAATATTCACAAACTATTCCAACATATCTACTTTGAGTAGTTCAAAATCACTAGAAAATCACCTATGAGCTAGCAGCCCCACAATTGTTCTTTATCCAGATCGTTTATTTCTTTCCCTTTGTGTTAGTTTTCAGGGAAGACTAAATGCATATACATGGAAAATGAAAATAATGCATTTTCAGTTTCTCCCCTCCAGGACAAAGTATACTTAAATACCATGGTTTAAAAACTAAGTAAAAATGAAGTTTACATATATAAATAAAATACATTATAAGCGTACATATATATGGCTATTTATCAAATGTTTTGGATAAATTCAAGATAAGAATTTTAGGACAAATAATTTAAATCATCAAAAGTATTTATATGCCAAGAAATTAATTACAAAAGTCTGTTATTAAATGACTTAATTACCTGTAGAATTTTGATGCATCCTTTTTTCCCTATCCTTTGATGTAAAATAACAATATGACGAATATGTTCCTAAAATAATTAATATATAATAAATTACATGTCAGGTAAAACATGATTTTTATATTTATAGCACTATGTTTATGTTAATATAACCGTTTATCTTTTCTATATAATAAAGTTTTATATAAATTGTCACCAGTTTTAAGAAAATAATAATTAACTGCTAAATTAAAATAAATTTTATAAGAATAAAGGAAAGTCATAGAAGTAAGAAAAAAGGGAACCAACTGAACTGCATTAAAATCACAGTTAAAGTGTAAGTGCAATTGATAACAGTTTAAAATAGTTGATTAACAGCAGTAATACTTGATTACATGGATTTCAAAATACCTGTGAGAAACAATGAAGTGACATAATATGGAGTCATTAAAATTAGTCAGGAGTCATAATTTTTTCTAAGAAAATTGATAAAATTGATAATACTTTAAGGTTTAAATTGCAATACACCATTCAGAACCACTCTCTCTAGTAAAGTATTAATTACTCTTTTCAGGTTTTCAACAAATTATTAATGACGGAAAAGAAATTTATGTGAGCAAAATAACTCATAAACTACTGTGCACCAATCCTAAAGATTAGAACCTAAATTCCAAATTGGTCTAATTCATTCTTGGGAAAAAGAAAAAGATTATATTGGTTTATTTTTTTCAAATTAGTTAGTTTTTGTTCAAGTGAATTTATTTAAATGTTTGGTTTATCTCTGTAGATATATCTAGTGTTACTTTTTGATAAATAGAAGTCAAGCATCTCATCAAACTGATATTGTCAAGATAGACACAACCTTCTATACGATAAAGCAGGACTAACTTTTGTTAAGCAACTACTATATCCTGTCCACTAGGTCTTGAGGCTCTTAAAAAAACAAATGAAAAAGACTTTGCCTCAATTAAATCTGTCTGGTTATCAGCTCAGAAAATTCCCTTCAGATTTTCCAACTGCCAATACCACAGTGAGAATCTAAATGATAAATACAAATCAGCGCAATCTTTGCGTTCTTCTGGGATATTTTGACTA